GCTCAAGGACAATCTAAATTTGAGAGGCTATCTACCTTTCTGTAGCCACATGTGTGGGGTTCCAAGAAAACATTAAACTCCAGGTGATTTTGTTTAATTTCTCTCCGTTGAGATTGGCTACTTTGAAAGTAACTTCTCAACATCTTGCCGCCATCAGCAGTAATTTGGCTTCTTAATCTCTGTATACTATATTGGGATGATATGTTAGGCTTGTTTGTGAGCACAAGGCAGCCATGTAAATTTTTGGACAGTGGTAAAGCAAAAGTCTCTGATATCCCATCTCTAGCACTATCATTGATGTGGTAATACTAATTTTCAAATGTATACATTTGTATACTTTTTGAGTGACAAAAAGTCATTTAGTTTCAAGCTAAGAAAGCAAACCCCTAAGAATTTTACATCTGTTTTTCTGTAGTGCTAAAGTACTACTTCTAAAAGTCCAATTCTTTTGTCTCATTTTATTCTTTTTTTTTCTTTTTTGGTAAAGATTTTATTTATTCATGAGAGACAGAGGGAGAGGCAGGCTCCATGCAGGGAGCCTGATGTGGGACTCGATCCCAGATCTCCAGGATCATGCCCTGAGCCAAAGGCAGACGCTTAACCACTAAGCCACCCAGGGGTCCCTGTCTCATTTTATTCTTAAATGTAGTAATTTCAATTCAGTATCTCAACATTTTTCATATCTTTCATTAAGCAAAACATTATTCCATGCTACCAAAGTGCCAGACACAGAGTAAAATGTTTTTGTATATCGTAATTTATTCCATTGTCACTTATAAGTAGCTATATCCCTACTATCCTCAGATATAAAGGATCACCTAATGACTGGAAGAAGCAGCTTGAAGCAAGGGCTTTTCTCTAACCTACTGTAAAAGTTGCCCTGAAATGCGCAGTGCAAGAGTAGCTAGATGTTTTGAAATTTCTACACTCCTGTGTTTCATATTAATAAAAGTCACCTGGGAATCTTGCTGAAGTGCTGATTCTAATTCACTGGGATGGAGCTGGAGGTTTACATTTCTAACAAGCTCCCAGGTGATGCTGATGGTGCTAATCTGTAGATCCCACCGAGAGCACTAAGGGTCTGTGCTATTGAATGTGTGGCCTGGTAGAAGGTTAATGCCTGCTCTTTAAAATGGAGTAACTGCTCTGAGGACAAGCAGGTGTGAAAATTGTCAGCCGTACCATAGTAATGCTACCAACAAGTGTAGCAATGTGTAGGAGCTCCTAGAAGTTAAATAGGAGTTGGGAGATTTGGGAACATTGGTCAACGGTATTTTAATTTGGAGGGTCTATGCAAAGCGGGAGTAAAGGAGTAAGAGATGGTCAGAAATAGGACAATTAGGTATGAAATAAAAGACAAGTGAAAATTTTGGAGTTCATGGGGAACCATCATTGTGTCCTGTTAGGAGTGAATTCTGGTAAATGAATCCTTAAAAAGAAAAGATGCTACTTAGGAATACACTGTTATTGAGTACCACTCACAGACTATCAAAAGTAGTCTGGGGGATCCCTGGGTGGCTCGGCAGTTTAGTGCCTGTCTTTGGCTCAGGGTGTGTTCCTGGAGTCCCGGGATTGGGTCCCATGTCGGGTTCCCTGCATGGGGCCTTCTTCTTCTTCTTCTTCTCCTTCTCCTTCTCCTTCTCCTTCTCCTTCTCCTTCTCCTTCTCCTCCTCCTTCTCCTCCTCCTTCTCCTCCTCCTTCTCCTCCTCCTTCTCCTCCTCCTTCTCCTCCTCCTTCTCCTCCTTCTCCTCCTTCTCCTCCTTCCTCTTCTTCCTCTTCTTCCTTCTCTTCTTCTTCTTCTTCTTCTTTTTAAGATTTTATTTATTTATTCATGAGAGACACACAGAGAGAGGCAGAGACACAGGCAAAGGGAGAAGCAGGCTCCATGCAGGGAGCCTGATGTGGGACTCCATCCCAGGACCCCAGGATCATGCCCTGGGCTGAAGGAGGCGCTAAGCCACTGAGCCACCCGGGCTGGGGCCTGCTTCTCCCTCTGCCTGTGTCTCTGCCTCTCTCTCTGTCTCTGTCTCTCATGGATAAATAAGTAAAATCTTAAAAAAAAAAAAAAAGTCTGATCTGTTTTCTCCTTCTGGAGGGTAAAGGCTACAGTTTGCTCTCCTGACTATGAATAAGAGCAGGAAGATTTTAACTGAGATTGGGCACTCTAATTCAGGTTATCTATCAACCGGCCTTTGGATAGTAGGAATTCATTTGTCATGTAGTAATTTAATATTCAAAATGTTATATTGGGAGCAGCAGCAGGAGCATCACCTGGGCACTTTTAGAAATGCAAATTCTTGGCCCCACTCTAGACCTGAATCAGCATCTACAGATTACCAGGTGATTTCTATGTACATTAAGGTTTCAGAAGCACTGATGTAGCAGTAAGCTGGAGTCTGGGAGAAAGGTTGATTTGGCTGCTAGATTTTAATGGGAATATGGAGACGGTCAGGAAAAGAAGACTTTTATTTATGTGCTAACCAAAGAGAGGAAACTCAGAGAATACAAGGATGCTGGTTTAACTGAACCAGAGCTGCAAATCCAAAGTTGTTACTTAGAGCAGAAAAGAGCTCTTTGGATATTATTAGCTTGGACACATCAGACAATTCAGAGGCTAAGCAGTATTGCCCTTCAGGGCCAGAATGCCTTTGCAGTAACTTCCATGGCAGCATAAATGACCACCCATTACTACAAACCAAGAGGATTTGTAGCTCAGTTCAGCCACTTCTTATCACTTGGGTAACCTTGCATCCCAGCCTAGGGGTGTTATCATTGTTTTAAGGGAAGAAAAACAGAACTTTGTCTTCTATCAGAATGTTTTCACTCCTTTGTAGAAGGCTCTCTTAAGGAGTTAACACTACTGAAGCTATAATATCAACAAGATCAAAAGCAGCTGAGGAAGAAAGAGAAACTGACTGCTTATAGCTCCTTTGCCTCTTTCTTTGTAATGATACCAAGTATATTGCTGCAGTTCGTTTATGGGCTGTATTAATTAGCATCTCCTGTGTTACAAACTACCCAAACAACTTTCCTTTTGCTCAGAATTCTGAATTTAGGTGGGCATTGTTTCTTGGACTTAGTATTTTTTGTCAGCTGCTGGCTGGCGGGGGGCTAGCCATTCAAAGGTGACATCTGTAGGCCACTTCATCTCTATTCGATGTGGTCATCCTCTAGCAGGCTAGCTCAAGCTTGTTCATATGTCAATGTCAGGGTTTCAAGGGAGCAAGCAAGGAGTATGAAGTACCAGAGTCTCATACTGGAACCAGCATATTGTCACTTAGGGTGCATTCCATTGGCCAAAGTATGTCAACCTGGCAAGCCCAGGCTCAAGAAGTAGTGATGGACAGAAAGTGCTTCAGCATCACACTGGCACTGTTATGAATACAAGGAGGTGGAGAACTGTGCACATTTTTTTTAAAGATTTTTTTTATTTTAATTTTTATTTATGATAGTCACACAGGGAGAGAGAGAGAGAGAGAGAGGCAGAGGAAGAAGCAGGCTCCAAGCACCGGGAGCCTGACGTGGGATTCGATCCCGGGTCTCCAGGATTGCGCCCTGGGCCAAAGGCAGGCGCCAAACCGCTGCGCCACCCAGGGATCCCCAGCATCACACTGGCACTGCTATGAATACAAGGAGGTGGAGAACTGTGCACATTTTTGCAGTGAGTCTACCACAGGCCAAATTAAGAATCAAGAGACTTTCACAGACTGTCCATATCTCATTCATTTTGGTTTCTCTAGTGCCATCCTGGTGTTCTCAGTGCTTGACACATTTGGGCGTTTAACAGTTGTCTTAGAAATGGTTTAACTTGGGATCCCTGGGTGGCGCAGCAGTTTGGTGCCTGCCTTTGGCCCAGGGCGCGATTCTGGAGACCTGGGATCGAATCCCACGTCGGGCTCCCGGTGCATGGAGCCTGTTTCTGCCTATGTCTCTGCCTCTTTCTCTCTCTCTCTCTGTGTGACTATCATAAAATAAATAAAAAATTAAAAAAAAAGAAATGGTTTAACTCATTTTGTTTTATTCCTTAAATAGGCTTTGAAATCTCTGACCAGAATCCAAAATCTTTTAAAATGTGATAATCACCATATTCTCAAAGATTACCTGATTACCCTGACTAGGAGCAATTTCTTTTCAATTGCATATCTAGCAATTGTTAGTCATGGTAGGGAAATTAGAAAACATAAAGCTTTAATGACTTTGTTGAAAATAGCCCTTGGCCATTTAATAAAAATTCTGACAAACCTTTGCCTAAAGGTCTTTATTATAATATTTTAAGGACATATATAGTGAAAACAGTAAAATTGTAATTTTAAATTTGCATGATGGCTATGGGATATTCACATGACAAAATACTAAACCATTATAAAAACAGCAATGGAAAATATTTTATGTAGAGATACTCTAAATATATTTGGTATATTTAACTCAATATATATCTTATGAATATATTTATGTAGATATTACAGAATACTTAAATATAAAACATGTTTATTCATAATAGTGTAATATATAGTGTTACAATCATAATGTACTTAAATGATATATAATGTAAACATGAATACATGTAAGACAGGGACTGTCACTAAGTGCAAGATGTGGATATAGTTGGGCAAATGAGCTGTAGCTATTATGTGGCCTTTTTCTTTTTTTTTTTTACTTTTTTTCAATTTTACAAATATCCTATAGTATAAATATATTATGCTTAAAATAAAAAACTAACAGAGGAAAGGAGGGAGAGAGAAAGGTCATTCCTTATCTCTTCTCTAAGGACTCTTTCAATAACATCACAGGTTGCTATATAGGCCATTTAATTTATGCCGCTAATTTTCAGTGGTACCACGGCAATGTTATCTAGAAACACTTAACCAGGAAATCTTCATTGGGTAGAGTATATAGCTCTTATTCATCAGAATAGCAGATATATGGGGCAAAGGTCTTGTGTAACTCTACTGGAAAAGTTGAAAATCTGGATGATCCTGAAGTTAAAAATCACACGGGAAATGTGTGGAAGGCAGCAGGACCAGTCCCTCCTTAATGTCTTGGTGGAAGTGGAGGATGAGGGTGAGAAAGTGTTTAGGATGCCAGCCTTAACTCAGGAAGCTACATGCTGGATGCAACTGACAGTTTTTAAGGATGCAATTGACATTGGGTGGGAGTAGGAACAAAATCTTTCTCAGCTCCACATGCAAACCAGTAATGGGGAGGGGGGGTTGGAGATGACCGTTAGTACAGAATCAGAAGGTAGCTTCAATTTGGAGTCATTATTGGGATGTAGCAACTACATCCCAAGACAGATTTGCAATGTAGAAATGCCAGGTTCATTAGCATTACTTTTAAACTCAGTCAGGAGATCTCCTTTTCCTTTTCTTTACATTTTTCTTCCTTTTAGTTTTTTTCTTCTTCTCCCTCTTCCTCCCAAGTTATTCCCAAATTACTGTCAATCTCCAGCACATGGAGGAATCTCCAACATGATGGTTGTGGGAACTCCTGATCATGATTTTGATTATCATTGTAGCTATCCTTCATGGATAGTCAACGATTATTCCTATTCACTTCCACTTCCGTATTCTCTTCTAAATCATTGTAGATCTCTCCACTTTAGACTTCCTTTCTCCCTGATTTAGAAATAGGGGAAGTCAGAGATTTTCTTCAGGCTGGTTCATTTAAATATTGAAACATTTCAACAGTGTGCAACTCCCTTTAAATTTCAGTTTTCATGGCTTGTGCTTTTACTAAATTAATAGTACTTCCATAGCATTTGTGATTCTCAAAGCAGTCCACAAACATTAATTAATGCTAATGCTACCCTAAGAGAATGCTGTAACTAGCTAACTGACTGGACTTTATCTCAAATTATTTTTAAATGGTTTTCAACTTGGGAGGGCAAGTTGGAAAGAATGTACAAGAATATATAGTGTTTGCTATCATTTGCTGCCTCCTAAAAGTAATGATGCAGCAAATTGAAGTGAATCATCCTCAGAAGGATATTAAGGTTTGATCCACCTGGAATTAATCATCTCTAAGAATAACCTGTTGCCTAGACTGAATGGACCAAAGCAGTCCTTGGAATACACATTTAAAGATAAAAACTGTTCATAATCCAGGCATCTTTTCTCTCAGCATTAATTGCAATTCTAGCATTCTGATCATTCCACTTTCTTTTTTTCACTATCTACAAAACAAAAACAAAAAATGAGCAGAATATAAATATGGTTTGCCCTGTGATCAGCCAATAAGTATTTAATACCTAAGCATCACATAAACTGTTTAGTTCTGGGGGAAGACAGAATAACAGCAAAAATAAAGTAACAACCTACTGTTCATGTCTTAAAATAGCCTTCAGTTTAGTCATGAAATCAAGCTTACATGGAGAAATGATAAAGGATTACTAGGGTCTACCATGCCAGTAGGAAAAAAATGTCCTTGTGGACTGGAGGAGCTAGGTGGGGCTTCCAGGAAGAGTTTTTTGTTTTCTTTTTAAAGATTTTTTTTTAAATTTATATATTCATGATAGACACAGAGAGAGACAGAGGGTCAGAGACACACAGGCAGAGGGAGAAGCAGGCTCCAGGCAGACATGGGACTCGATCCTGAGACTCCAGGACCATGCCCTAGCCCAAAGGCAGGCGCTAAACTGCTGAGCCACCCAGGGATGCCCTCCAGGAACAGTTTGACATAGATTTGGTGTTACTACATGGTGTGTGGGTTTTGAAACTCCCTGAAATATCAAGGGAGTCACTGCAACTTCTTGAGCAGGAAGTAAAAAGGTGGAAGAACTGTTTTAGGCTGAAAGTCATAAGTAGGATGTCCTGGAGGTTGGATAGATGTCAAGGATTTGGTGGAAGGTAAGCTAGCGTGGAGTGGTTCAAGAGTAGAGAGTGATTATAAGGTGCACATTGGACTCATATGAACATGTGTTCAAATCCTAATTTTTCACAGATGAGTAACCTTGATAAAACTCTCTCTCTTGAACTTTCATTTTCTCATTTATAATGGGGGATGTGATATTTAAGTGGAGTAGTATGTGAAAAGTGCTGTATTTGACCACAGAAAAAAGTATGATATAAACTTGTATTGAATGATAGGTTTTGTATTTGTCTCCTGGTCATCAAATGAACACTTCCATCTATGCCCTAGGCATGCATTCTATTTATTTTTTATTTAAAATTTTTTTTAAAAGGATTGTCTCTGAGTGGGGGGAGAGGCAGAGGGAGAGGAGCAGATTCCTTGCCAAGTCGGGAACCTGATGTGGGGTTTGATGCCAGGACCCTAAGATCATATTCTAGGTTGAAACCAGGAGCTGGACTCTTAACTGGCTGACTGAGCTACCCAGGGGCCCCAGGTGTGAATTCTCTTAATGATGAAATTGAAAGTCAGCTTGGATTTCTGTGTCTTGGAGTTTGTTAGACTACTCTAAATGACTGTACTGCTAGAATAAAAAATACTTGAGTGCTTAAAAACAACCTGCTCAAATTTATCAGTGAAGTGGCAAGAAAGAGTCTTTGAAAGCTAAAAAAAACCTTAGTGAAGGTAAGAATCAGGCAGGGCAGAGGAGGTGATGGGAGATTTGCAGAAAGCATCTGTTGAGCCAATATTATGTGGAGCCGGGTTTTCATGGCCTCTTGGGCTTGCAAGATTTAGGAGATAAAGCTGCAGTCAGTGTATTAGATTTCCCTTTGTTCTTAAAATTGATCACAAAGGACTGCCTTTAAGCTGTAAAGGTAAAACCTACCTACTTCCTGCTTCCTAATGAAGCTGCAAGGAAATTTGTTCCTCTTGAACCTGGTTCTGGGTGGGAGGGGAAAAAAGTTGTCTTTGAGAATTCATAACTAACCCACATGTGAGTTTGCATTCTGAGTTAATATGACTTGTGTGCTTCAAAAAAAACCTCCGGCTGAGAATTTCATATGATGTATGGTGATGCCTGTTGGTGCCTGGCAGAAAAAACTTCACAAATTCAATACCTACTTAGACTAGTCTTTTTCAAACTCTAATGTACATGAGGTTATGATTAAAATGCAGATTCTGATGCAGTAGGTGTAGGGTTTGATTCTGTGTGCCTCCTAATCTTTTAGGTGAAACAGACGCAGGTGGTCCATGGATTACACTTTGAGTAAACTAAGAAGTCCACTTTCAACTCCAGGTCTCAAAGAAGGTCCACAGTCAACCACTTAAGTATATGAAATCACAGTCCATAACTTTAAAACATAAAGCAAAAGTCAGCAGGAAAAAGAGACCAGCAAAGATTTCAGATATTAGAATTATCCAACTCAGAATATAAAATAGATATTTAATGCATTTCAATTTGTGTATGAGATTGAAAATATGAGCAAGGAAAAATAAAGTTATGTAAATATCTGATAATGTTTAGTGAAAGGAAAACCTCTAGATATGAAACAATGTTCATATGTAATTATAAAGTTTTATAAGTTAATGGATGAGTTCAACACAGATTAAATCCAGCTGAAGAGAAAATTATTTTTAACTTCAATTTAGATTTAAAGAATATACTTAGAATGAAGCATAGAAAGATAAGAGGGAATATCTGAAGAAATATTACCAGAGAATTTTCTAGAATTAGAGTAACGTAAAAATCTTCAGGTTCAGATACCCAATAATTTTTAAACAGATTTTGAGTTATTTAGTGAATAAGGCAAATTATATCCTCCCCACCCCCCCCCCACCAAAGGATATCTTTAATTGCCAAATTCACAGCAGTGACAATGGAAGCTGGAAAATAGTAAAACCACATTTTTAATGATTTGGGAGAAAATAATAGTTGATTTGGGATTTTGGGGAAGGATAGAAAATTCTAAAACTATTTTTCATAATGAGAACAAAATAGAACTTTTTCAGCATGAACATACTCTATTGCCATTAGAGGGTCTCACTAAAGTAATTTTAGATGATGTATTTCAGACAGAAGGAAAACTATTCCAGGGAGAAATTTTATGAAGCAAGGAGGAATACTTAGCAAAAAGTCTTTTTTTTTTTTTTAAAGAGACATAATACACGATAAAAAAGGGGGTGATAATTGTATTTATAAGTGTTTAATGTTCCTTATTGTCTGGAAGATGTATAGGGATACTAGTAAACTTGAGTTTGTTAAGTTCTCATCTTCAGTTTCTGGGGAAACCAGTAGAAGGAGAGAGGCAGAATAAATAATTTCTAAGCTAGTGGGGAAAAAAGTGAAAAAAATCTGAAGAAAGGAAAGATGAAAATAACATAGAAAAGGTAGCCTACATTAAAGAACATACAAAAGGACAGACGTAAATAAACCCAAATGTAACAGAGGTAGATACAGACATAATAGATTAGAGTGGAAAAATGATGATTAAATGTTTCAGACAAAGATTGTCAGGCATGAGAATTTTTTTTAATGAAAGGAAACCTTAGCTGAGTGGTTCCTATAGTGTGATCCCTAGATTAGTAGCATTAGCATCACCTGGGAAATTATTAGAATAAATACAGATTCCTAAACCACTCCAGACCTACTGAATCAGAATGTCTGGTGATGACTTCCAAAGCTGTGCTTTAACAAGCCTTCTAGACGATGCATGCTAATGTTTGAGAACCACTGCTCTAGCTATGTATTCTCTACAAAAGATCTGCCTAAAACATGAATAGAGACATCAGAAAGGAAGGAAATAAATATATCAGTTGTTCAAAGTGTGTTCTTTGGAGGGATTGCAAAAAAAGCAATCTAATATATTTATCAGAAATGCAGATTTCAAGGCTCTACCTTACAACTGATTGTCAGTCTTTGACTCTAAGAATTGTCACCTTCGGTGTTTAATATGTACCTTAAGGTGTAAAAGCCACTGTTACACTCAAGTGAAGGAGAAAATCTTATCATTCCTAGGATTGAATAAGGTTCTGGGCATAAATGAGAAAAAGAAGAGAACAGCTAGGAATATAGTGTGAAGCAGGATGAATATGTGAAGTGGACAATTATAGGTATGCAGAATATAAGAGTTTAGTGAACGGTGATACTTAATATTCCATGTGAGTTTTTCCTACGACTACAAGAAAACTCCAAAACTTATTCTAAATCCTAAATGAGGGGCAGCCTGGGAGGCTCAATGGTTTAGTGCCACCTTTGGCCCAGGGCATGATCCTGGACCTGGAATTGAGTCCCACGTTGGGCTC